TCTCACACATATTTGGAGTGGTGCGTTTAAATGACTAAAACATATATTTGTTAGTTTTTTTTAAAGTAAAGTCTTTAGTAGGAAAACCTGATTCATAAATAAGACAGTTCACCTGAGACAACACTGTTTCTGCACTTAATGCCTTGATTCACAGCTGCCATGCAGCCTTGAATATTTACATTTGTTTTATTTACCTGTAGCAGTCTTATATGGACAACATGTATGCATGTTCACATCAAAGATTGCCTTTTTTTCCAGATCAACTGTAACGGCTTCAGTGTGAGTGACCAGAGGGGTCTCCAGGCAGTAGGAGTTGGTCTTTTCCCCAACTTGTGTCTAGTGAACCATGACTGCTGGCCCAACTGCACCGTAATCCTCAACCACGGCAAGTAAGTTAACAAAAAATACTCTTCATGACAACTCATTGTTATCTACAGCTCCAAATTCCTCAAAATTGATTAAAAAGTGAAAAATACTTAACGTTTTCAGAGCTTCTGTGCACGTTTATGTGCTGTTACGTGTGAATGTGTGTGTGTTGGGTGTCACTTGGTGTAAAACTGCTTCCTGTTTGTCTTTCAGTCAATCGGCTGTGAATACTATGTTTCATTCTCAACGGAGGTGCGTTGCCTCATCCTGAGCCTTTGAAGTTTATTATTAGAGCACCCTTTAGACTCTGTCATTAAACAAATCATTACACTTAACAATCTGTTGTAAAATTTTTTTTTATCAGCGAGCAGTGTTCTGTGGTGAGCACTGCATGTTTGATGTGACTCGAATATCACCTCAATACATGTTCACATGTGCTACTTGAATGCTCTAACCCTTTAAATGGCTTGTTTAGTGTAACAAAAGGCTGCTAACTTTTTCTTATCTCATATTTCTTCGCCCGAAAAAACCTTTGTCGTGTCCACACAAAGTTTTATTCGAATGCAGCTGGTGTGTCACTTTGTGCGTCTGTCCGTCACACCAACACAGATTGCCGTGTGTGAGTGTAGTAGTAGCTTCTACCTTTTATACCACATTTTCCTTATTGTTTCACCTTTAACTCAGCATAACACCAAAGTAAAATAAGACAAAAAGAGCATTTTCATATAAATACAACCTTTTTGTTAGATAAAACCGATTATTACCGTTTTGCATGTTATGCAAGGAGACTGAAATTGTGAATAATGGAAATTGAAACTAACTTTACAACAAATTAAAGATATAACCAGATATACGTGAAATGTTTTGCCACTTAAGTGCTGTGTGAAATGGTAAATGGCCTGCATTTGTATAGCGCTTTTCTAGTTCATAGGACCCCAAAGCGCTTTACACTACATTCAGTCATTCACCCATTCACACACTGGTGATAGCAAGCTACATTGTAGCCACAGCTGCCCTGGGGCGCACTGACAGAGGCGAGGCTGCCGCCACCGGGCCCTCTGACCACCACCAGTAGGCAAACACGGGGTTAGTATCTTGCCCAAGGATATTTGGCATGCAGCCAGGATGCAGCCTGGGATCGAACCACCGACCTTCTGATTAGGGGCTGACCTGCTCTGCCACCTGAGCTACAGCCACCCAGAAATAAACCGACACTCACTAATATCTCACTCAGTTGAAGGATCAGTCCTTCAACTGGACTGAAAGCCATGCTGTGGAACAGGATTTCACCATCGCAAACTCAATCACAAAGCATGTGTTTCCACATCTCTGCTCGTGTTTGACTGTGATTCTCATCCCCAGGATCGAGCTGCGTGCTTTGGGTAAGATTGCAGAAGGCGAGGAGCTGACAGTCGCCTATGTGGACTTCTTGAATCTGTCAGAGGAGCGACAGAGGCTGCTGAAAACACAATATTTCTTTGACTGCACGTGTGAGGACTGCAAGAACCGAATTAAAGATGACATGAAGATTGGGGGAAGGGAAGAGGACGGAGTCAAGGTTAGTGTTCGCTTGTCTCCAGTTTAACCAAACACCCCCCACTGCGTTTAGAACTGATAAGAACAGGCGAGAAACATGAGAAGCAGTCACACAGAGACTATTTTAAGCAAAGATAAGTCTCAAGTGGATTCAGTCTTCTGTGCATTCAAACCTGCTTTTGAGAAACAGCTATTAGAAGAAATAACCAATTTCAACTTGATTTGCTGATTAATTTTAATTACTTACTTTCTTTTCTGTTTTATTTTTTAATAAAGTTTATATCCAGCTTTCAGTGCCAAATACACATAAATGTTTGTCACATCACTGAAAGTCTCAGAAGTGAGAGACACTGCTAGATGTAATCTGAATCTATGTACTGCTGTTGTAACACTAATGTGCTCTGTGTGCTTTTATAGACTATACACGGGTGTGTCACAAGTTATAAATAACTTGCCAGTAGCTATTAGCACAAAAAAATGTTTAAGGAGTTTCTGTGTTTAACAGGATAAGTCTGAAAAACTGGCCACATCTATTTTGAAGCGCCAGATTGGCTACCTAATAATAATAATGTGGAAACGTAATTAAAATTCTAACAAAGTAAATCTTGTTTGTTGTAATCAAACATCCTGTGTGTGTCACCAGCAGGTCAAAGGTCCTTTTAGGGATAAAAATAACCAGACTTTCTGTTTTATAATTCTAGAAAGTCTTACCTGCAGTCTTACCTAAATAACTCTGAAACATTTTTTTTCCGCACATTTCTTTGTCACTTTTTAATACTTGACCCAAAATCTGTCCAATGTTTTAGCCTTCAGAGGAACAAGTGAAAGAGGCAACAGATTATTGCTTTCAGATGCTAGAGAAGATGGAAAAGGCTCGATTAAATGGTGACTACCATGAGGTATTGTATCAAATCACTTAAATGAAAAAAAAAAAGGTTTTTTTTGATACTGTGTAATCTTTCTTATTGCGGTTCGTCTCTTCAGGTTGTGAAAATCTGCAGGGAGTGCATTGAGAAGACAGAGCCGGTTCTGGCAGACACTCACATCTACCTGTTGAGGATGTGGAGCACAATGAGCGAGGTTCAAGCTTACCTGCAGTACTTTGATGATGCTGCAGATTACGCCCGGAAGATGGTGGAGGGATACATGTAAGTGTGAAAATACAGAGGATTTTCCTGTTATACCCATGAGCATAATTTATCTAATGTTGATAGAAAGAACAGGTTGTCAGCTTGAAAAGGTTAAAAACACAACACAAATCGAGTCTCATCCCTCTAACAGGAAGCTGTACCACCCGAACAATGCTGCTCTTGGTATGGCTGCCATGAGAGCAGGAGTGACCCACTGGCAGGCTGGGCAGATTGAGGTTGCACATGGGATGATCTGCAAGGCCTACGCCATTCTCATGGTTACCCATGGTCCAACACATCCCATCACTAAGGACCTTGATGTAAGCGTCACCTTAAAATTATTCAAATTAGGTCTCCTTAAACTTTTTAATAGAAATAAAAATTTTCCTGGCCCACTGAGTGCTGATGTTTCTGTTCTGATTTCTTCACAGGCGATGCGCATTCAGACAGAGATGGAGCTGAGGATGTTCAAACAGAATGAGTATGTTTATCACAGTATGAGAGAGGCAGCTCTGAAGAACAAACCCATGACCATGATGCACGAGCCCAAGTCTGTGGAGGAGGGAATCAAAAATCTCTTCCACCGGAGGAAGTGATCACATGACAGCAATCAGGAGAGCCCCACCCTGTTGTTTACTGTTAACAGCTTTCAGAGTGTTGATGTTAGCCTAGCCATTTAGTCACATGACCATTTTCTGCATCACTTAGTTTTTCAGGGAAATATGTCTTTTCATTAAAAAAGATGTCTTGACCTTGTGAGTTTGCTTTGAAGATGCAAAATCCAACCACAGGAGTGAATTATAAAGTAAAAAGCACTACTATCTCTGCCCTCATAAAACTTAAAAAAACAAAAACAAAACAGGCTTAAGTTAGTGCACCTGTACATCAAATAGACCCACATCCTTTGGTGTTTGCTGTGACACTACATAAGGTCAAAAGATAGAGTACAAGAAATGCAATGACAGTATGTCGCACTTTAACCCAGTGTAAAGTTTTACATTACCAGAAGATGTTGCTAGCTTAACTGATCTTTGACTGCACAGATAAAGATGCACACTGATGTTTTGATAGTTTTATTTTATAAAAATTAAAAAAAAAATCTAACTGTCTTGCAGATCCTGGGCTAATCACCAACGTAAGCTGGATGCCAAATTTGGTATAAGGGCTTTAACTAAGTTCCTGTCTGTAAGCTGTAAATATTTACAGTGCAGCTTCAAAGTGCCTCAAAGTCTCCTAAATCTCCATTTTTGACAAAGCCAGACATTCTAGTGTTGTGCCAGCATTCAGCTAGATTCAAGCAAGGTCTTTGAGTATCCCGGGTTACATTCATCAAGTTATTTGTTACCACTCACTAGGAAGTAGACATCGTCAATGAAAGCATCTTTTATACTTAACTCTTCACAGCCTCCACATTTTGCAGGAAAGTCTGACAAAGTTGCAAAAATGTCACAATCGCATCAACTTTCACCTTTGCCCCAACAAATTAGAAATACACTTCAAGTCCATGTACTGTAAGCCTCATATATTACATAAGGCGTGGAAATTATTAGACAAATACTGCATTATCAATTAAACGAAATACGTTTTCTGCACAGGATTTTTTGTAAAGGTTTAAACTAATTTTTGACTGTTCTTGTCAATTTCAGGTTATTATGTTATTTTTTTTCCTTTGATTTTTCCACTTCACCTCTTGGTATTATGTATTCCCCACACTTTGTTTACCTTTTTCAACTGGGAACCTATTACCGTTACCATGTTACTGCTTATATTTGTTTAAATAAAGTTTTTTTTAATTTTTTTTTATTAAAACCCACAAGCAAGCGAAATTTCTGAAACCAAAAGCCCCCAAATTAACTAGTTGGGAGTATTTTTTAAACCAGCTGAGGAACTGGAGCTTGTTCAGTGTAAACCCAAATGAAGCATTTAACAACAGCCTGCTGAACACATACAAGTCAAACCATGACACAGTTGCTTTTTTTCACCCTCCTTTTATTATCATGTATAGAAAGTTACATGCGTTTGCTTGTCGTCTTGTGTACAATGTTTCCAAGAGTCAGTGTCTACAAGGAGAAGAACAAAATGCATTAAATACCAGCTAGTTAATCAACAAGGAAGACTTTAAAGAAAAGAAAGTCAGAAAAACTACTTACTGAAACGAGTGTGTTTGCATCCACCAGTTCCGTGACAGACAGAATGTTCTTCAGGGTGGTCTTCAGCTTATTGCCTTCACGCTGAACCACCCCCTTCAACAAGCATGATAAATGAAGATTAGGCTCAGTGATCAACTATAACATTTAATGCAGACCAAATGCGTTATAAGTGTTTTAGTTGTCATAATTGTGTTTCCTGTAGAATTAAGTTAAGTATCTTGGCTTACCTTGACTTTCTCTCCAGTGGGTGACAGTAGTTCAGCCTCCTGTCCGATAGTGAAATTGCTGACGATGGCATTTGCGCCAGTTGTGAATGTCACTTTGAAGGTGTCACCATTCTCCTCGATCTCAGAGGTGCTCTTAAGATCTTTGATTTTCTGAATGATCTCATCAGACAAACCTGTGGCAGAAAGCAAAAAGTTTGGAAAGCATTGGTCAGATAAATTGTTATTTCAGTTCATTCAGTGCAGGAAGCTTATTAGTTTTGCACAACTCTTACCAACAGCCTTCATGAAAGGCTCGAAGTTCTCCCGAGACTCAAGCTGGTATTTTCCAGAGAAAGACATGTTGGCAGGCAGTGAAGGTAAAGAAAGTATCTGCCTCTTTTATATTCTCAAGCTACAGCGGATCAATCTTTAACCTCAGGTGCCTGAAATTAAGGAAAGTCCCTACTTCACTACTTCCAGCTTGCTCGCAAAAGATGGGCAGGCAGAGAGATAAAAGACAAAAGTCTTCAGCATGCTGTGTTTATTTGTTTACTGCTTTGTTGCATGCTCTGTGCCCTTCTATGCATGCCCATAGAAGGACACAGAGAACCAAAGTGGACTGACTGCAAAGTTAACCGAAACAAAATTGGATCAAAGGTGAACAGCCTATGAGATAATAGTCCCAACTGTTGCAACAGGGATATTGTGTCACCAGAGTTGCCACAAAAACACACACACACCATCATGTGGGGATCATTTGAATTTGCCAGAGATACTTTGGAGGATTATCTGAAAGATAAAGACTCTTGTGGGCTTTGTATATTTGTTTGCCAAACACAATGCCCTAATACGGTTCAAGCTGTCTTATAAGGAAAAGTATTTGGAAGGTTTGAAATACTGTAATTTTACACACAAGACTTAATCAGGTCAGGGAAAATGACAGCACTTTATACTCTCTTCAAACTTTATTTCAACATGCAGATAACAGGATGACCACAACAAGTATTCACCCCTAATTTCATACATAAAAATAGGCTATATTGACAAAGGCACTCTACAGAAGTACTGCAGGGGAAAAGAGCAAAACCAGCATCATGACAACAAACATAAAAACACAACTATGTGAACTACAAGTCCCATTTAATCCCTACAGCTCGAGAGCTTGCAGTGAGACCTTGACGTGAAGAGCAGCTCATTGGTGGACTCGATGAGGAGAACTGTGGCCAGCCAAATGCAGGAGCCTGAGGATGATGTCACCGGGGTCGCTGCCATCGAACTGGCTGGTTTGTTCATCTCCTTCCTCCTCGATAAGGCAGGATTGATCTGTGGTGCAGCTCTCTGAGGCAGGGTTAAGAACAAATCAGAAGGAGTTATTACCAAAAATGGTCATCGTCTACACTTTATGATCTGTTGTTATCAGTCTTTGTGACCTGTATTCATGGACCCTTAAAGAGCAGGGTAGGGTAAATTAGGTAAATCATCATGACCAAAGTAGTATACTAAAGCATGCAGAGCTCTATTAGGAATAAGATTTATAATTCTTGCATTATTCCTTACATTATATAAAACAACAAAAAAACAACAATGATTACAACTTCAGGTTTGGATGAAAGTCATCATGTTTACACTAGAGAATCTTTGACTTCTGCAGGTTTAGCTATGCTGAACCTTGGACCGGAATAGAGACTGCACAATTTCATGAATCAATCAAGTGCTTGTACCTGATAACCCCCACTAAAGTTTTTCAATGTTATAGCACTTTATAATTGTACTTCACTACATTTTAGAGGAAAATTTATACTTTTTACTTCATGTTGTTTACTCTAGATACTGTGCCTTTATCAAGTCAGATGTAATTAGCTTATAAAATAGGATGTATGCTTACACAGAACAAGCCACCCAGCTGTAAATATAATAATTACAATCCGCTTGACTGATCAGCTTAAACTATAAACTTTGCTGTCTTGTACTTTAAGCAAATATTGCTAATATAGTACTTCTCTGCTATTTGCTTTAGTTTGCAGGATTATTCTGCAAATAGTAGTGGTATTAATTACTTCAATAAAGGACTAAAATACTCCTTTTACTACTGCTTATATTTACATCAGGATTTTCTGACCTGCATCACAGCAGAGTCCTGAAGCAGCACAGCGTCCTCCTTCAGAACCACAGGGTCGTCCTCCTGCCTGGCAGGGGGTGAGCAGGTAGTTCTCCTCCACACAGTGAGCTGTTTCCGGGGAGCCGAGCAGGCAACCAAGACCTTCCCCGCAGCAGATACTTGGCCCGAAGCAGCGGCCTCTGTCTCCGGGGCCACACGACATGCACTAGAGGTTGAAACAGATGATTATTTTTGGTGTTGCTTTGAACGTCACCATAATTTACTACCTTATAAAGCATTTTTAGGCTTTCTCAGTTTGTATTTTCTTTCTGATGGTTTTGGCCCCTGACCCAAGTTTTTCACATGCATGTCACCTAAATCTCTCTTTAGGCTTTGCATTATCTGAATAAATGAATGAAGAGAAACATGTGCCAGTTTGCTAATAATATTGTCAGAAGCTTCAAAAGCTGCAAAGTTAAAGACCTATTGACTGACTGATTGAGCTTACCTTGCGCAGTGGTGCATCCATTATGGACCTTTTTCCTCCGATAGGGCAGTTGGAGATGTAACACGCTGAACATACAGACAGGAGAAAAAGCAGGCACACAGACACAGCAGCTCCGGTCATTTCTGCTAAGAATGGAAGAGAAAAACAGAGAAAAAAACACTTAGTAAGGCTGACCACAAAATCCACGCTTCACGGAGAGCAAATGTACACACTTGTTAGCTCAAGTTCCTCTTTAGGTTGCTCTTGGATGACTGCTGACTTCTCTGTCTCATACGGTGTTGCTGGTGTGTCTTATATACTTCCAAAGCACCTTTTGAGAGTGACACAGAAACTTAAAAGCCACTTAGAAATCCTTAATGAGGCCTTTTTAATCACCTTAGCAGATGAAGCTGACCACTGTGTGGGCCAGGTCAAAGGGCCTGGTAATTGTGTGGCCTGATTTGCTTCTTCCTATTGGAGATCATTAGTTAAGGGCTCCTGCTGCGTGACCGTGCATGTTAGAGATGTTAGGAAAGTCAGAGAGGTCAAGAAGAGCAGGCAGCGATGAAATTATTCAAAGCAGGACGGGACAAGAGGGTAGCACCAGTTTAATTTTTTTTTTAAAGAACAAAAAAAAGTTAATTTTAAGGATTCAACTTTTTATTACTACCCCTGGGAGGTCAGGAGAGAGTCAAAAAGCTGGTTTTAAAGGTTGACAGAACATTTCTGGCCTGCTGAGCCACCATGTCGGTAAGCAATGCTTCTTGCAGAGCTTGTAAACAAACTCGACAACAAAGCAAGAAACACACATACCCACAAACGTATATACACACATATGCACACCTGAAAATTTCCCTTTCTATTAATAAAGTCCTTAATTCCTCAGAGGAATTGATGCACACATTGTCCAGGGCCGAGGTTAATTGGTCTCATGAGCTAATTAACACAGCTAATGATTGGCCACATCTCATAAAAGACAGTTTCACCGTTTCAATGATATGAGCTCAATTACTGCAGCTCCCTCCTGATTTACTAACTGCCACCTCATCTCAATTAAAAAGCAGCTAACATCGTCATTGTTCAAAAACTTCTGTGCCAACAGAGACGCGTGGGATGTTAATTTACTCAGATTTCACAACCAGAGACAGGTAGCTACAAACGCTATATGATGACAAACAGGACAATAAAGTGGCACTGTAGACAGATAGGCCACTCCTGCCTCCTAGTGGCTGTGCTGACGCATGTCATCTATTTGTACATTTTTCATTGCTCCTGTTTCCATCTGCCACGTGTTTTGTGGGAAGTGGAGAAAATAATGGGAAAACTGATTAAGGTGATCCTGCAATTGATTACCAGAGCAACACACACAATGCATGAAAAAATACAATTTCAAAAGAAAAAAGAAAATAAAACACATCATGTCTCACATGTTTTTTCTCCTGTAATGTGATATATTACACATTGCAGTGTCTCCCTGGCAATCTGTGATGAACATGTACATAACAATCAAGAACCTTTGACAATATTTATTTAATAAGCTCAAGAAATGTTCTATTTTATCTATTTAAAAAAAGATACTTATTTGCTTATAAATATGAAAACAGCCAGTTTTAAGATACATCTCATTGAGCTGGATTAATGGAAAGCATTGCTATCTTCCATCATGATATGTCACTTTGCAGCTATTAAACCTAGAAATTGTGCTGTTTTCAAGTGAAACATCAGCACCCTCCTCCCCACATTCCTCCAAAGGCTATGCAAATCCCTATTTCATAGAGAAATAGAGATGTCTATCTAGTGTTTCCTTATTTTTCTGCAGGAAGGCACTAGGCTTGTTGACTTCCTCTCCCCTCCCTTCCTTCCTTCTCTCCGAAGGTACTCATCTGAAAAATGAGAACAAAGTGATTGTTCCTGTTCTCTTTCTTAAGTCAGTTCAAATGCTATCCGTGGACAGGCGGCTCATTGTCAGGAGAGTTGCAGTGCGAGCAGGAGGGAGAGAAGAGAGGCACAGGTACAGCAGCAGCTACTGCAGCAGCACTTCAGCCCCAGCATCACAGAGAAAATACACACACACACACACACACACTCTGCTACACTCAACTGGTAAGTTACACACGCAGACATATGCTGCAACCGCACACAGCACACACTTACATGGCACTGACTGGCACATGAGGAGGGGCTTCGGGTCTAATGGATTGTTTGGAATGCGTGGTGTGGCGAGGACAGGCTGGGGTCTCTGCACAGAGCAACTTAACTAAGAGTAGTGAAGAGGATAAAAGAGCAGGACAATGTCCAGGAGAGACCCAAAACTTCAGCAGGCGTCTAGGGCTCTTTGAAAATCCTGGAAAGAGGCAGAAAAATCCAGTTTTTGCATTTGGCATCTTGTTGTTGTTGTTTTTTTTATTCCTGTAGATTGATTTTTATGAATTTCCATCCATGTATCTGAGAAAGGGAAATTTACTGGTAGAAATGTGTCATTTTAATGTTTTTCCAGAAGTAAAATGCTAATTATTTGTTGAGGTGGATTTAAATGTCAAAGTTTCACTGGTTTTCATTTCATCGTCACATTAGGTTTTATGACGTTTGTGTTGTAAGAATGCATGCAAAGCTGGATGCAGATGTTGAGCTGAAATACTTAGAAAGCTGATCCTTGATTTGAGATCAACATTTGCTTTCAATTCATCAGTTAAAATGTTTGTCAAGCAAAAATGCCAAAATGTGATGGAATTACAACCTCCACATTACGAGCTTTTGCTATTTTTTTCTTTGACTTGCGTTACTACAATTTTTTTAGTTTTTGCCAGAAAAAATGAGAAAATGTAAGACGTCTCCTTAAATTTCTGGAAACTGTAGCAGGTGTTTTCTTAAAATTTGATACTCATAAATTGAAGCCTTGGGTATTTTTAAAATGTTTACATTTTAAAAGCCAACAGGTATGTAACCTGTGACAGACATGAAGTGGAAACTGTAGTCATGCAAGCAGTGGACTGGTACAGGTCTCAGCAGTTTCTCACTGATAAGCACTACAGTGTTAACAGGAATAGAATTAATCTGCACCACTATTTTAAATGTCATGCAGAAGTAAGATAGTTCCCCTCTGACTATCTTCATCTTTACATCCATTACAATCATCTATTCTATATTTCTATATCATACAGATGCAAACTGCAGTTTTGTGATTTTGCTTAAGTGAACTCCAGTAAAGTTTTGGCTATCAGTCCAAAAAAGAAAAAGAAAAAAAAGAAGGATGAAGAGCACAGAGAAAAAGAGATGGAGAAGCGAAAAGGGGCCAGGAGGTAGAGGCGAACTTCTCACAGATAACTTCCTAATTTCAGACAAGGAGAAGATCTGTGAGAAACGAAGAAGTGAAAGGTTTCAGGTTGAAACCTGAAAGGTGTGGGTGTCAACGCCACACCGTGCATGCGTGTGTGTGTCCGCTTGCATTCCTTCCACAGGAATCTTCAGAGAAGTGGTTTCATGTCATAAATAGAAACAGGACACAGTTTCATTTGATGCACTTTTGTCAAGTCTTTCTCCAAATGTTACAACTGGAAATATATGTAAGCAGTGGTGGAAAGTAAACACATGCAAGAACTGAACTTGAAAGCAAATGTAAGGTATTTATAGTTTATTTACTTCCTTATTTGTATAGATTTTATTTGACAGCTACTTGCTATTTTTCAAATTAAGAATTAAAATAAATGCATATGATGGAAAGTATATTACTGATTTTCAAACCAGTCATTCACAGTGTATTATTTTGCAAAATGGCAATGCCCCTCATAGATATGAGTTCCTGCTTAAGATTTCTGAGGTTTAACCAGCTTGTTTTTGCACCACGTTGTTTTTTGCTAAATCCTTTCTTCACCTTTATGATGTTTTCCCCCATCAATGTCAAGAAAGCATGATAAGATGGATGCATTTTTTGTGTAGTCAGTAGCAGTTATTTCTGATTGTGTCATTCTTATAAAGAGTGTATAAAGAGTCCCATTAAATACGTGTTAATGTGTGAAACATTTAAAACTAGTGGATACTGGGGACAAATGTAATATATATTTTTTAAAAACATTTTCCTCACAGGCTAATTGAAATACACTTGTCATCTCCTGATAAACAAAACACAAATGTGCACCAACTAATAGTACAACTGATATCTTGTCAATAATGGGAACAGGGCTAAAATACCTATTTTAATGCAAGAAACCAGAGTTTTACAACTGAGCCCTTGATGGGGGAAATAGTAACAGAAGAGGGTGGAAAATGTAACACTGAAAAAATACATCATACTAACTGGGTAAATCTCAAACAGAAGCAATCTTCAAAGTAATCACCTTACTAACTAAAAATGTTCAGCCTTTGTACTTTCAAATTTATTTTGATATCAGGCAATCTGTGCATTCAAGGCAAACATCTCTTTTGATTTTCCCAGCAACATTGGCGACTATTCCAGAACCAACTAGATTTTGATTCTGTGAACTGAGTTAAAAGTACATTTAACTCAAATGCACAGACGATACGATGACAGAACAATTTCTAACCTGACATACATTAATAGACATCATAGATATTAATAGATCCTACCAATAATAACACAAAAGGATCATGTGAAGAACATATTAATATATTTATTTAAAAGGACCAGAAGTGAAATATATAAAAAATGTATGTGTATGATATAATGCATGACACATGTATTGCACAAACAAACTGACACTTTCTTTCTGTCAGTAGTTCGACTAATATTGTCATTTTAAATGTAGTTTAGTCAAATATTTCTATTTTCTCATCACCCTTGTCATCACCACAGACAGACATAGTGCCTGCAATTGTAAATGTTACAAATATCACTGATGTCACACCAATGTTGCTGACTTGCATTCTACTGTGGTTGGCGACATTGATATTAGTACTGGTTGTTCGTGTTAGTTTCTAAGATATAGCGAGGACAGAACAGATGCAAGTCTAAATGCACATTATTTGAAGGCAGCAGAAGAAAATACATGTAATCACTCGAAGTTGGTTCTGGTTTCAGGACTTGCTTCGTGTTACTGTTACTCTTCTTTAAACCAGTCAATTCCTGACTTTTACTCTTGTAAATTCCTGAAAGAAAATTCATTTTATACTGGATAAAGTATTGGGATAGTTTTTGATGCTTCAGTTTTTCTGTGTGATTATGATGAAACTGTCAGGCTCACTCAAAAGTTAAAAGGAAAACTTCAAAGATCCACATTTTATATGAAGAACTAAAAAGCCCTTTATTTTTATGTCATGTCTTGCTTGCCTTCTGCATCATCAAGTGAGCTTTGTAAGCTCACAAGTAGTTTTAACAGACTCCCTCTAGTAAAAGATTTGATTAAATACTTTCTTCCCTGTTGTTACTGGAGATATTTAACAACTT